TGAAAACTATTAATGAACGGGGGGGGGGGGGGCGGCTCTGATTTTCAAAATCCAGGGTCGGTAAGTAATTTTCCTCATATAAAGAAACTTTCCAACAGTCTTTAAGGAATTCTGTGAAACTGAGTAGAAATGAGAGATGATGGGCCCTCAAGCAGGAACAAACAGAATATCCTCTTGGCGACTTCTGGAGAAGTTCTGGGCAAAGGACCCGAACCTCATCTCAGAGTACCAAGCCTTATTATTCTATTACGTGGTTTTTCAGTCACAGTCACTAAAGTCGATTTATAGACTCTGAAGAAATCAGAGGACAATACCACGGTAAAGTTCCACTGGAAGGAAGTTCATGCATGTTTATTTAACTTTATTTATTTACTTAATTATTTTAAATTTTGACCAGAAAGGAACAGAGAGAGCGAGAGAGGTAAAGTGAGAAAGCAAGCCGCCAGGTCCAGGACTCGAACCATGGTGAGCCATGTGGGAGTCCAGTGCCGTTAACCACCATGCTACCTGCTGGCCCAGTTCCTACATATTTCTGAGCCAAATAGCTCAAATTGTAACTATAACTAGGCTCAAAGTGAATAATTCCAATGCTTAAAATAAATAAATAAATAAAAGAATCTCAAATGTGTAGGGAGAATGTCTTCTTTACATAGTGGCTCTAGTGGGGGCCATCTCACAGCCACATGGCGAGGAGCAGCCACTTCCCACAAGGTGGGCCGGGCCTCCAAGCTGGCCACTGTGGCCTCAGGGCGCTGTCCTGCCTCTCTGTCCTGCACTACCTGCCCCTCCTGACTAGTCCTGACCAGCGTGACCCCTGTAGCCAAGGACGAGAACTCCTGGGGGTGCCGCCCCATCCTGGGCTGGCAGGAATGGAGCAGCCCCAGAAGCAGGAGCGAGCTCTGCCCATCCTGCCTGCCAGTCTGCCAGATGCAGTAGCTGCAGCACGCCGGCCAAACCAGGAGGATATGTCCATCCCTCTTTTCATCCTGGGTGCCTCTGCCAGCCAGGTCTGAGGAAGAAGTGGGGACAGTAGCATGGTCCCCCCCATGTCCCCAGAGCAGGGCCATCCTTGCAGACAGCTCCGCTTGCTCTCTGGTGCACCTTTCTCTCCCGCTCACAGTTGTGCACAGGAAAACAGAATTCGCCTGAGCCAGAGAAATTCGGAGGGTTAAGGTGATGGGAAAGACGGTCTCCTGCCCTCCTCTGAGCATGTGCTGTCCCAGCTTCCCTCCCCAGAGACAGCAGAACTGCTCTGCCTAGATGAGCCCATGACCCCGTGCATGGAGGAAGACCTGGCGGCGGGACAGTGTGGCTGGTAACCCGGGCAGTGCAGTGACCTGGCGGGGAGTCAATGGTGCAATGGGGGTGCCTCCATCAGCTGCACCTGAACAGCCTGCTCTCACGGACAAACCATTACTACAGCCAATTCCGCAGTCCACGCATAAATCAGCCTTCCTACTTGTAGGGCATTGTCTTCCATTGTTCCCGCTAAATGCTGGCTGGCTGGGTGGCCTCCCTGGCCCACTGAAGTCCCCTGTACATTGGTGGGCATCTGACTCCACTGCCTTAAAAACAGCAAGGGAAAAGATGCACATTGTTTTGTAAAATGCTGGCAGTCTATTATTTGGGTCAATTCGTATTACTAGGGTAAGGGAGAAAATGCTTGAAGAAAGAAGATGCAGAGGGCAATGGGAGGGGAAAGTGAGGTGGAAGAGGAAAGGGAAAACAGAAAGGCAAGGGGCAGGGCGGGCAGAGCCGGGTTCCCTCCTGCCTTCTCCCTGCTGCTCCCTCCCCTGCCCTGAGTCTGTCAAAATTCCGTCTTCACTGAACCACAACTTAGAATTTCTCTTAAATAGTTCATTGTACTTATGGAAACAGATTTTATTTTCTCTATTCTTAATTTGACATAGTGATGAGTAACCTATTTTTATGAGGGACAATTCAAGAAACAAAATCTGTTTTGTTTGTTTGTTTGTTTTGAGAGATTTTTGTTATAGGGCATGTGTGCTCCCTGGAGAGACGGAGAGACAGAAAGTGAGAAATCCCCCCCCCCCCCAGGGGGGGGGCTATGCTGCAATCCCTTCCCTTCATTCTCCTCTTGGGATTCTGGGTAGGCATGCACACACACCCAGCATGAATTTCAAGTTGCTGGGTCTAAGACTCAAACCACGGTCAACTACATGGGAGTCCAGTGCCTTAACCAAAATGCCACGCATTAATTAGTCTGCTTTTTTTAACAGAATTATTTTCATGCGCAGTTCAATCTGTCATGGTGCTAGTGTTTTGTTTGTTTGATCTCAGTGAAAAATTTCTCCCTGGAATTTCAGGACCCATCAAGATAGAATGGCCACATTATTTTGTTGTTCAAGTCTATTTCTCTACCCCAACATTCTGGGCTGGCTTTTGTTTTGCTGTGACCAGTTGGATGTAATGTAATGACATGAGAGTCCAAAAGCAAGCTTCCAGAAAGGCTGCTGCTTGTGTGTGCATTCTCCGGACCAGGCTCCCACCTCGAGAGTGGCCTGGTCTAACTTCCTTAAAGAAGAAAGGCCACATGGGAAGAGAGGCCTCAGCAGCCCAGCCCCTGTGTGGGCCAAGATGGAAAAAGCAGAAGAAATGCCTATCTAACCATTAGGATCATGAAAAATTAAATACACCATTTCTGTAAGCCATTCAGTTTTGGGTGGTTTGGTAAACCAAACCAATACTCTTCTCCCTGCTGGCCCCCGACCTTCAGTAACAATGGGCTGCATATTAGACTTGTAGTAGTTTTAAAACTGCCAAACTGAAAAACACATTGAGATGTAAAGACTAAATACAACAGCAAGCCAGTAAGTGGCGTAGTGGTTAAGATGCTGCACTCTTATGTGGCCGACCACGGTTCAAGTACTGGACCTGGCAACTTGAAACTTCTGCTCGGTGTGTGTATGTGCGTGTCCAAAATCCCAAGAAGAGAATGGAGAAGGGATTGTGGTGTGGCCATTCCCCCTGGGGGTGATTTTTTACTTTCTGTCTCTCTGGTGAGCACATGCGTCCCACAGCAAAAAAAAAAAAAAACCTCTCGAAAAAAGAATGAACACCATAGCAAAGCCAATCTGTCAACAGGCACTCCTAATATCAAATCAAATAACTCATCTGTCCTGTGTCTGGAGTCCTTTGTCCTACAGGGAGGATATATGGTAACTATGGGCCTTTCAGTTCTGCAGCACAGAACAGGACCCCATGAAACAGGCTAACTTGGGAGCAACGATTACCTTCTCAGAGGCCCCAGGAGAAAATGCAGTGACGTCTACTGGGTGCTCGCGGCTTACCAGACATTGCATAAGATCGGGCCCAGATGTGGTGGAGCATGGCCAGCACAGAGACCATTCTGGACATCAAGCTTGGTCTGCAGGAGAGGCAATAACCCCGGAGCGTGGAAAGGGCACTTACCGCCTGCATGGCAGAGCCTCTGGGAGGATGGGGCTCTATGAGCAGCTGAGAAGGCGTCTGTCCAAAACTGCGGATTTGAGCTTCAACAGCCTGAAAAAGTCACAGGCACGTCGGAGGGTTAAGAGGCGCTAATTACAGGCAACGGAGCCACAGCTGTCACCTGAGCACGTCATTCCTTACTTCTGGCTTGTTTCATGTTGAAAACCAACCTGGGTGCTCACGGTGGGGCTACGCACCTGGCGGGGGCACTGAGGGTGAGTCATCCTTTACTACTTAGGGAACCGCTCCCATAAACTCTCCCAACTTTCTCGACTCGGTGAGGGGAAACAGAACCTGCTATTACAGTCAGGGGTTGTCCTTTTTGGCTTCGTTTCTGTTTTTGTGCGTTTGGTTTTCCTCCCTGTGTCACCCCCCGATGAGGAAACGCTAACCCTTTCAGGTTATGCAGAAGAACCTCTGCGACTCTGACTTCAGGTCCCATTTCATTCTGGGATATATACAAAGGAGGAAAAAGAGAAACGTAGCTCCTAGGTAAATGGCTTGATGCATTATTACTTTTGCCACAGGAAAAGCATTAGTGTTGACAGTCTGATGGCACCCCAGTAGCTATGACACAACCCAAAAACAGAGGCTGCATTCGAGCACAAGCCAGTTAGACCAGGGACAAAATGTGAGGGTTGTGCATGTGTGTGGATGTGTGTACGCACCTTCTCTTATTTTGAAAGAATTAAGTTTGTTTATTAATATTATTCTTATTTTTCAATTCACTACAGAATATGTATGCTCACCAAGGAGAGACAGAGAGAAAGTGAGAAAGAGTGAGAAAGCAAGCTACCAGGTTTGGGACTTGAACCACTGACGGCCATGTGGGAGTCCAGCACCTCAACCACCATGCCACCTGCTAAAAAGATGTGTGCGTGGACTTTTTAGAAGGCACTCTTCTCGCACACCTGGCACAGATGCCCGCTCCCCAGTCACCGCCAGCTCTAGATGCCCGGTGCTTCATCATCTGCAATTACTACCGGTCAGCGTCTGCCTGCTCTCGCTAAATCTAAGACCTGCGGAAGCAAGGACTCGAGTCACGGGGAGTCCAATGGATAAATGCTGCTATAGGACGTGCGAGGGGAGAGAGCAAAGGAAGACACACAAAGCTACGTCAGTGCCCCTCCCCACCCCCAAGCGGTCAGCACTCCTAACTCCCAGGCTCAAGGATGAAGAAAATCCCTTACATCCTAAGGGAATATGAGTTCATGGTGTTCTTGAATCACTAAGAAAATAGATCTTCAGTTTCTACATGCTTTGGCAGGACCTTTATGCTGTAGATGGCTAACGAACCACAAAGAACGAAATGCAAGTACAATTGAGCATTAATTTCCTTTTCATATTTGACTGGGGTGGTCCTTCGCAAAGACCTTGTAAGTAATACTGGCAAGTATTCGTTTATGCAGTTAATAACCATGAACTAGACACACAGCACTGTGGGGCGTAACGTTTCTGCCCCCCAAGAATGTTTCCCTGATATGAGAAGCAGCGGAAATACTTGGAAGTACTTGGAAGACTAACAGTTTGACGCAATCTATCCGGAAAGTTTAAGGGATGCTCGATGTCTGCTTAGGCAGAAAAGACCAGAAAGCCTCTCTGTAAGAGCTGAGTGGTATGGGGTAAAGAGCATGATCTTTTTAAAGCTTATTTCTTTTTTTCACGAGCAACAGAGATGGGGAGATAGCAACCCAAGGTCTTGATGAGGTAACCCACCCCCAGTCTCAGTGAACGTCAAGTTTGAGGCACCTGCAAGCCTGGTATACTCAGGGAGGTCCCTGGACATGAACCCAGAACCTTCCCATGTGGGTTAGCTTCGCAGAGTACTGTGTTTTATCACTGCACCTCGGACCGGCCCTCAAGAGCGTGGATCTTTTTTTTTAAAGAGAGATTTTTGCTATAGGGCGCATGTGCTCATCAGAGAGACAGAGAGACAGAAAGTGAGAAATCTCCTCCTGGGGGGATGGCCATGCTGCAGTTCCTTCTCCTTCAGTCTCCTCTTGGGATGTTGGGCATGCACGCACGCGCACCCGGAGTGAGTTTCAAGCCATCAAGTTTGGGACTTGAACCACAGTGAGCCATGTGGAAGCCCAGCAACGTAAACATTATGCCATCTGCTGGTCTCAGAGTGTGGGTTTTGAAGTCAAAAGGGCCATATTCGAATCCTGCATCCGTACCATGTACAACCTACATGCTCTAAGGAAAGTTACTTAACCTTACATTCAATGTTTAGTTTTGGGACATGGCGAGAGATAACAGTACCCATTGCATAGTGCTATTTTAAGGATTATATATTATATATATAATATGTATATAATATATATAATATATAATATACATAATATATACACACACACATATATACACACACACACATATATATATATACACACACACACCAAATTGCTTTGCATGGATTAGACCCTTGATATGTAGTCAACATGGGCTAGTCGGTGGTAATGGTGGTTAGGGAGGCTGAATCCCACATAACTAACTGTGAGGTTCCAATCCTGGACCTGGCAGCTTGAAAAGCTTGCTGGGTGCCTGTGCATGTGTGCTCAAAATCCTGAAAGGAGGGAAAATGGACATGACAGGATTGTGATGGGACCATCCTCCATGGAGGGTGCTTTCTCTCTCTCTCTTTCTGGTGAGTATACACACTCTCTGGAAAATTTTTATTTTCATTTATTTCCTTTTAGACAAGTTTTTTGTTTGTTTGTTTTTTTATTTTGTCTGTTTGTTTGTTTGGTTTTTTTGCTATAGGGCATATGCACTTGCTGGAGAAACAGAGAAACAAATAGAAAGCTAGAAATCACTCCTCAGGGGGGATGGCCATGCCCAAATCCCTTCTCCTCCATTCTCCTTCTGGGATCTTGGGCATGAACGCCCATGTGCCTGGCAAGAGTTTCTTTCTTTCTTCCTTTTTTATTTTTTAAAGAATTATTTCAGTTAACTTTATTTATTTATTTAAACTTGACCAGAGAGAGACAGAATGAAAGAGAGAGAGAAAGCAAAAGCAAGCTGCCAGATCTGAGACTTGAACCATGGTCAGCCACGTGGGAGTCCAGCACCCTTAAACACCACATCACCTGCTGAACCCTCAAGGTATTTCCAATGACTGTTTTTTACCCTGCGCCTGGTATGAGTTTCAAGCCACCAGGTTTGGGCCTAGAACCAAGGTCGGCCATGTGGGAGTCCAGTGACATGGCCTCTACGCCATCTGCTGGCTCCAATATTTTCTAACAGAATAGGAACAAAAGTAGACTGAACACAAGAGAAGGCATAAACTTTCGGTCACATGACTGGTCACAGGACCCTGATTATGTCATCATCGTCACCTTCATCCTGACGGTGAGCACGGCCACAGAGAACAGCGGGACTAGGGGAGAGCTGGTGAGGGTGAGGCTGGCCTTAGACTGGCACCCGGGAACAGAGCCAGCAGGCAGCGTGGAGACACCCGCAGCCCCAGCCCCAGCCCCGTGGGAGGTTGGGGCAGGAGGAGCTGACAAACAGCGAGGGACAGAGACGAGGGTCATTTTCAGAATAGCATCTAAACATTTTTTTTGAGGAGTGGAACTAATTTATTGGTTTACTTATTTATTTACTTTTAAGAATTATTTTATTTAACCTTATTTATTTATTTGTTTGTTTATTTCAGTTTGACCAGAGAGGGACAGAGAGAGAGAGAGAGAGAGAGCAAGAAAGTAAGTCGCCAGGTCCAGGACTCGAACTGCTGTCGGCCATGTGATAATCCAGCCCCCTTAACCACCATACCACCTGCTGGCCCTATTTGTTTATTTATTAAACATTAACGACAATCTTTTTTTTTTTTTTTTTGAGAGCGAGAGCGCTTATTGCCATAGGGCATGTGTGCTTGCCAGAGAGACAAAGAGACAGAATGTGAGAAATCACACCCCTGAGGGGATGGCCATACTGAAGTCCCTTCTCCTTGACTCTGCTCTCGGGATCTTGGGCATGCACGCCCATGTGCCCAGTGTGAGTTTCAAACTGCTGGGTCTGGGACTCGAACCACAGTCAGCCATGTGGGAGTCCAGTGCCTTCATCACTACACCAACCTGCTGGCCCCTAAGGTTAATCATAAGAGAGAAATCACAAATTTGCAACGTGAAGCTTAGACCAATGTAATACAAACAAGATTATAATGATAATAATGAAAGAAACAAAGAAAGAAATAAGTCATCACAGAGGAGGAGGGGACAGCCTTGCTATGTTAGATGGGTCTGTGGACTGGGTTTCTGAACCGGAACCTTCCATCTGTTTGAAGAGCAGCTGGCAGAGCCAGCGCCTCTGCCCCGACTGCTGCCCTCTGTGGTCGCTGCCCGGCAGCCCACATGCACAGCCCACGTGCCTTTCCCCCAGGAAGACAGGAGGCAGGAGTAGCAGGAAAGCCACCGCTATGGCGCCCGGCCTGGGGTGCTGGACAGCCTGGGCGCTGCCCTGCTTCTGCCCTCATCTGTTGCTTGCCTTTGGGCAAGTAGCTCACTGTGTGACACAGAGACCAACGACACCTCGCTCCTGGCATGGGTAAACAAGATGATGGTAGGAAGTGCTCAGCCCAGGACCTCACACGTGGCCACGCACGGAGTCAAACGCTGTGTTAGCACTAGGCTGGTAACACGGCTACCTGCAGGAAGGAGGAATGTCGGGTGTTTGTGTAGGGGGATAATGATGAACGCACTGTTCCAGGAAACTCAGATCTGGCTCGAGATTGCAAAATATATCGCAGAGCTCTCTGGAGGTTTTGAGCACAGTCCAAAACGTAAGCAGCTGTATACACCTCGATCCTTGTGCAAGCTCTGGAAATCGAAAGGGATAAAAATGTGAACCGTATCCTAAGGAAAAACCAACACATCTTCAGAGACTTTGAACAATGAAAGAAGAGAGAGAAAAACAAAACTAATTTTCTTTTTAACTTGCATGTTTCTAAGAGTAGCAAAGCAATGAGCAGAAAAAGGAGTTTCGGTTAGGGAGAACCAGTTTGGAAGGAGACAGCACATGTCCCATCAGACACGTGGAACCTGTCAGTGAGA